AATATGTTTTTATTTTATTCTTTCTGGGTATATATTATATGTATATATAAAAGGGCGCAAAAACAAGTCGAGTTTAGTCCAGTTCCTGTCCCAAGTTTCGCATTCATTTTGCCCAATAAAAAGCATTCAATGAGCGAGGCTTTCACTTGGCCAAATAAAGAAAATTGGCGAGAAAAGCGACGGCCATTCAAATGGCTTTCAATGGGCCTTCTGCTGCTGCTCCTTCCTTCCGCCTTTTTTTTAACTTCTGCCCCAACTTAGTGGAACCCCCATTTGATTTTGAATGAACTTGGTGAAAATTGCCGGGAAAAAAGGGACGAACAAAATTAAATACACGCAATGCGAATGAGCCGGCAAAATCACACACAGACCCATAACAAGCCAGAAAACAAGCCAACAACCAGCCAGCAAGAAAGCAGAAAAACAGAAACTGAAACTGAAATAAAAATAAAATTTAGGTAGGAGTGAGGAAAAACTTGGGGAAAATGAAGCTCATTAAAAAAAAGGCGGCACGACGAAGAAGAAGGTCCACAAATTTGAAGGCTTCCCCTTGGATGGACAAATAAAAGAACTTGCCGACAAGTGAGAGGGAAATCATAAGGGAGATGAAGGATAACCCACACCGACTACACAAGGACTCTTTGATATGGGAAAATGATTCTAGTCTAGTGATGAAATCAAGGAAAATTATTTGTAAAAGCTTAGCTTAAAACTCAATTTAATTTGTTTATATTTCTGTTAGAAACTGCAATACCTTGTTGTAAAAATATCATTTAAGGCTCAGAATCATTCCATATTCAACTCTTTCTAAAACGCTTAAATTTTCCCTACATTTTAAATAGTTTTTTCTACCTCAACACCTTCACCGATTGCCTTCATTCAAGAGCCAATCAATAACTTTCTCTGCCAGCTGCATCCATCTTCCACTTTTTAACCCTAGACCCACTCACCGAAAAGAGCATCCCAGGCCAATGTTTCTGCGAATCGTGAAACCATTCACGCCTTCTCGTGGCCAGCTTTCCCTTATCATTGACTCTCCCTACTTTTGGCCAGGCAACAAAGGCAACTAGCAACTATACAAAGCGAAACTTTCGACTTCATTTGCATACATAGCGCTCTCGAGAAATGTAATAAAAAATGATAAAATCCTCTAGGGAGAGAGAGAGAGTGGGTACACACACACAAGGACAGTCAGCCCTTCGACCCTTGACCCCAACTTGGTAACTGGAACTGGTAACTCGGAACTGGTAGCTGTGCGTGCTGTCCCCTGGTGGCAGCCAAAGCCAAAGGCGGACCAAGTCCGGGCCCAAAGCCCAGGCACCGCAAACGAACCCAGATCCCAGAGTAACCAGCTATGCGCTACCAACAAGCCACCAAACTGCCAAAATACACAGAGAGAAAAGCAACTAAATGTTATATCAAAAAACCGTATTAACTATTTAAACCTAAAATCTGTAGGAGTGCAAATTTAATTATAATGTATGAGGTTTATCGTCTTTTTGAAAGCAATACTTTATTGAATTTAGTGTTTTTGTTATATATTTCTTCAAGTGCCGTAGTTACCAGCTCCCAGTTGGCCAAAATGCCCGGTGTTGGCCAGTTGGCCAGGCCGCCAAAAATGAGCTGATTTCAAACAAAGCTGCGCGGCATTCATGGATTCCTGGTGACCCCAAACCCAGGAGCTCGGAGATCGGTGCTCGGGAGGAGGAAGTACGGGGTTTTATGGGAAGTCCGGAGTGAAACAAAGGCCGGGAACTAGGCCAGCAGCTGCGCTGATTTTGGGGGCGTGTGGAAACTTTGGCCGTTTGTGTTGATATTTCCACCTCCACCTACACACAAAACAAAAAAAAAGAAACGTGGGGAAAAACCAGCAGCAGGCAGCGATTTCTTTGCGCTTTTCAATACATGTGCCAAAAACGGGGAGTAGACCGAGGGCCAGCATGGGTTAATGTGGCAGGCAGCACCTAAAACCAACCAATTAAAGTGAATTTTTGCCCTCTTTGACTGAGCGACCCTCCTTTTGAAACTTTTACGGGATGTAGATGTGTGTGTGCTGTAGTGTATTAAATTTAAAATAAATGTTTTTCTTTCAAGAGGGAGAGGGAGTGAGAGCGAAGCAACGGCTAATGAAACCCCATTTAGAGGGTCCACAAAGCTAGCCAGTTGATGTATGACAGGGCTCATTATGAGGGATTGAGTGGGTTTTTTGGGATGTACCTAAAATATAAAGTAATATTAAGCTTAATATCTCTTTCAGCGTTTTTAAATAGTAATTAAACTTAGTATTTTATTATTATTTTAGATTATAAATTAACAATAACTTAGATATATAACATATATAATCATTCCCTTGGCTAAATTCCTTCTTAATCATCACTTAGCACACCTAATTTTTTGCCCTGCCAAGCAAATACCAATCCCAAAGATGCCCAAGGTCCTTTCTAAAGGACAAACATCTTGGGCAAACAAAGCCAATCAAAAGAGTTGACTGGAAGTAAACATTGCGGAACGTGGGAACGACGACCGTCAACTAATTATGAATATGTTTCGACGCATAAGGAATGCCTTACAGACACACTGGCATTAAAACTGACCAAACAAAGTTCCAGTTGAGTCTAATTTGGCTGCCAGGACACAAAGGCACACACACAGCACACACACATGAGCTTATGCAAATAGAGCTGACCGAAAAGTTATGGAAGGGAGCAGGGGGCATAAGGACCTCGCCATGAAAATGACAATAATAAAATTTAATGTACACACAGAGACGCATGTGCATGTGTCGAGAGGGCTGGGCTCTCTCTCTCTCTCTCTCTTTCTATGTGTATGTAAATGTCCTTTTGCAAACCGTAAAAACGTTTCCGACAGTTTTCCACCCACCTCGGCCCTAGAAAAAGAAAAGCTACAGCGTCATGTTGGAGCTGAGAATGGGGTTTCAGGACACTAAACTCGAAGGATGAGGAGCTGGCAGAGTTGAAAGTCATCTAGTTGACTAACAGCCGCAGTTCTCTGTATATATATATATATATATATAGTGTGTATATAGAGCACATATAGATCCTCGGGTTGAGGGAGTTCATTGCTTGCCAGATGAGGGGTGGAGTGTGTGCAGCAGACCAAAACACTTCCTACCGCTTTGGCCAAGTATCATTAAAAATATAAAAGTATTTCATGCCACACTGCCACTAGAGTCTGCTCTGTTCCATCCTATCTCTATAGCTTCTATATGTATGTATATCTATCTATATATTTTTTGTAATTTCTATTTTTTCAAGCACTTTTAGGGAGCGTTGTCGTCTGGGGGCAAGTCATTGTCATTTGGTCAGTTGCAAACAGCTGCCAGTTTTCAGCAGCAGAATCTCCTTCGTCCTCCTCCTCTGGGTCACTTCATTATCATGTTAATTTTGTTGTAATTTGCTTGCTAAATGTTGCCAAGTCGTTGGCCATTTTTCCAGCATTTTTCCGGTGGACTGGGGCAACTCCTTGGTCCTAGCTCCTTCCTTCCTTCTTCCTTCCTGGCCCCTCCCCCTCTTGTGCATATTTAACTTTATTTATGGTTTTTGCATGCTTTCATATGGAAAATGAGAATTTTTGACTTGCTCCCCCCTCCGAGTTTTGCTGGACTAATTTGCCAACTATATTTTGCAAAGCAAAGTTGCCTTTTGTCGTTGTCTGGCCAAGTTTTTCGGGCCATGAAAATATGCCTTGGATTATTATTGTCATTTAAGGGAAGTTCCAGGAAAATCGAGTGGGGGATGGCACCCAACCCCCTTTCCTGTGTGATAATGATGTTGGCCGTGCCAGTGTGTGTTAGTCAATATTTTTCGTAACGCTTATGCTAATTATGCGACATGTTGACAGGGCAAACTGTGTCACACTGTGTGTGTTCCAGGGCCTGCCTAATTATACCCACGAGGGTAGCTTGGCATGGAGTTCCTTCGGGAAATCCACTGGCAATGTAATTTGATTTATTCATTAGACCATTGCCAGCGATTAGATCCACTCCTGGCACTTGTTTATCCGCTCAATTTGGGCTCTAGCCGGGCTGAGTCCTCTAGCCAAACAGCAAATTGAAAGGGTTTTCGGGTAGGAATGGGAGTGGGAGTGGGAGTGGGAGTGGGTGTGGGACTTGGAGTGGCTTAGGCCACGCATGGCCAGACGGACTACAAAATAATTGACAAGAGCAGCCAGGAGGATGAGGAGCAAGAGGCGGATAAGGATGAGTAGCAGCAAACTGTCCAACTAACTGACAGACGCAGGCCAGCAGACGGGAGTGGTCACATTAGCCTCTCCGACTGCAATCGCTCCCGAATGAGAGGAGGCTGCTGCTGCTGTCCAAATTGGAAATGTCATTGAGGCGTTTAACGTGAGCAGCCCCAATGACAACGACATCGACGTCCAACTCCAACTCCAGCTCCCAGCTCCCAGCTCCAGCTCCGAATCCTGCTTCAGATCGAACTTCGATGCCGAACGTGTGGGCAAAATCATTTAAAGCGGCAGGCAGGATTCAGCCAAGCTGAAGTAGGAATTTAGAGTCATACACCAAGGGAAAGTTAGTGAAATATTAACAAAAAATGAATATCTTAACTATATGATAATAGGGGAATACTAACTAATATTTTCTGAAGAAAACTCTTTTGTAAAGAACCCTGGAGTAATTTTTTGATGATTATAAGCACCCAGTTTTTCTGTATTTTTTTGATCTAGTATAGGAATGGATATTTTTCTTACTGTGCACTTGAAGTTGGAGTGGCAATCGGCCATCAAATGACAGCCAATTGTTGCAGTCGGCCACTTAGCAGTTGGGGGGAAAATCACTCGCTTACCTGCCCAGACATTTTGACAATCGGACGGCGGACAATCGCACGGAGCATCGGGTTTGGGGCGACGATTTGACAAAAGCAATTTCAGGAAAAGTCTGGACTGCACATATAACATATATATATATAGATTTAACCCCCAAATTTCTCTCTCTCCTTTCTGCCACCTGTCTTCCGCAGACAACAAATTCATTTGCGACTGTCGTCTGCAGTGGATCTTCGAATTGAAAAATCGCACACGTCACCTGCAGCTGCGTGACTCGCTGGATGAGCTGCTCTGCTCGCTGCAGGACCCCAAGCTGGCGCATTTCGTGGACCCGGTGCCGTCGCGTATCCTGGATGAGCTGAACGTTGGAGGCTTCACGGCGATTGGCAGCAATAGTGCCAGCATGGGCGGTGTGGGCAACAGCGTCGTGGGCAGCAGCAGCAGCCACAGCTACGGGGGATTGGGTCTTGGACTGGACGACAGCAGGAAGCATTCGGGCAGCAGGTCACGACAGGCACTGCGGCAGCGACAGTTTGCCGAGAATGTGGTGGAGACCAAGATGCGGCGGCGAAGGAAGCGCCAGGAGGGAGGAGCCGATCTGAAGGCGAAGGACCTGGCAGCCGTGGCGCCCACACATAAGCGGTATGACTATTACGATGACAACAACGGCGGCATGTCCTTGGGCCATGGCCTGGACCTGGACGACAACCTGAACCTGCACAAACAGGGCTCCTTCTACGGCGGCGCCTCTCCGGTGGCGGGACACAACGATGTGGATGTCCTGCTGACACCGCACTCGGCGCCGGGCGATGCCCTCGATGCGCTGGCCAACAAGAATTCGCTGAGCGTCCGCCTGTTCCTGCTGAAGCCGGAGATGCTGCCCTGCCACGACGAACTGAGCGATCCCACCGAGCTGCCCCTCTCCCGCGATCTCATGGATGTGCGCAGCAATGTGGGCCAGGATGCGCCGACAGGAGGAGCTTCGTCCTTAGGAGTAGGCGTAGGTATCCTTGCAGGCCTTGCTCTCGCCCTGCTGACCATCAGCCGGGGTTGAATCCGGGAGCAGAGTGCTGCTCCTCCTCTCAGTTTGGTTCTACATTGTACATACTGTCTTGGAGAAACGAGCTTCAACACGATACGCGAAACGGAAACGGAAACAGAAGAATAAGAAACCGAGACCGGCAACGGCTGCCAGCAAAAGTCCTGTAAATATGTAAAAAAATATATAATGGGGGTAGTGAACGCGAAATTCGATAAACTTACTCTAATGTAAACACCTAGCTGATAGACTCGACTCGACTTTTCACCAACAACTTCGGCAGCAGATACAGATCAAGATTAAAGATAAAATATACACGTTAAAAGATTCAAGATACAAGATAGAAAAAACAGGATCCCCGTAACCCAAGAACTCACCCAAAGATAAAATGAGAACCTCCGAGCAAACTGGCGTTTCATTTAAAGAGAGATACTCGTCGTACTACCACTACACTCTACTACATAGCATTAGTTTAAAACGGTTTAGCCATAGAGACTCCCTTGGTTTACTTGAGCAAGAAACTACAGTGAAACTTGGAAAGCGCTAAACGTCTTAGGTGCAGAGACAGAGCTGGCCAAAAAGGAGAATCCACTGAACGAGGCATGCCTGTAAGATAAACGCAAAAGCAAACCGAATCGCTGAAAATTGCAACGATAGCCGTTAGTCGATAGGCGATAGTTGTCGATAGACGATAGCAGATAGCAGATAGTTGATAAATGTAATAGGTAAAGCAAATACGCCCCCGGCCACCCGCAGTTCTCGTTAGATTTTAAGCCTGCTTTTTTAGTTTTAAGACAGACGGAACACTCGGCTTTGCTATATCCTGTCGCCTGAATTTCCCCCTTAAATTTTCCCAACCCAAGCCCAGCACAGTTCCGCGGAAAATCCGCGCTTTACTCTTACTTTCGCCGCACCAGAAATGAAAACGAAAAACAAGATATAAAAATACATACATTGCGAATTTATATAACTTATTTGAATAGATTCAAATTATATAGAAAACAAGAGCATAAAATAAATATAATGAAAACAAAACCGAAACAGAAACAGAAATATGCATAACGATTTTTGTAGCTTAAGACTGAATATATAAAGGTAAATTATGCTAATATATACAAAATATTTATATGGAAAAAACCCAAAGAATACTGTACTGTACGTTTAATTGTATTGTAATAAATGCGAGCTGGGGGAAAGGGTAATGTCATTTATATAGAATACCAAAAGTAAGCCGAAACCAACAGATCCGTGCATCCAAATTAGCATGCGATGCATACAACACTTTGTTTGGCAAATTTATTACGTATTTTATTATGCACAAAACATGATTTAAATTTAACAAAACTAAAGAAAAAAAGTGAACAAAAATCTAAAAAAAAGTGAAAAATAACTGTTTTATTAATGTGTTTATAATAATTCATATACAAAAAAAGAGAGTAAAGTAAGCGAAAACCAAATGCAAATTTATTGTGTAAAAAATAAAAGCGAGCAAATTTTACATGCAAAGATCCCCCAAATGAAACCCTCGAGAAAATGCGGGGAAAGCCGACAGTAGAACGCAAGCATAGTTTTTAGTGGACAATCAGCAGATAAGTGAGGAAAATCTGGGGGAAATCCCCAGCCAGCAGAGACAGCATAACGGCGACAGAGAGAAAGAGAGAAAAAGGGAAAGAGAAAACCCCGAAAAGCACTTGAGAAAATCGAAATAATAAAATAAAGAAACGTGAGAAAAACACACACACAGACACATACAAAACTATTTTAAGTAAATGGATATAAGCTAAATGTATTTAGTGTTTTGATTAGCCAATAAGGAACTTGAACACAACCGAGCGAAAGAAATTATAAAAGTGTGTGGAAATCTAAGCAGAAACTTCTATCTAAGCAGGGCACTAATTTCATCATTACTGTTGATACTCATCCGACTTACACTCATTTTATTTAATTGTCACGAAGTTACTATGCTAGAGGTTTGCTAGTGAGAAAGGACGTTTTCAGTTGCCTCAAGGAGTCGGGCCTTTGAATGATTTAGCCACTCTGTCTAGTGCATTAAATGCTTGTAATAAATTAAAAACGAAACAAAACACTCGATTAAATTTTAGCCTTAAGAATTGAGCAAGTTTTAACCAAAGATTTTGCGTTCCTCTTGTTGCCTAAGCTAATGTTTGGTTGTTTTTTACGTGTCCTTTTGTTTGTGCCATTCTAAATTCGACACTGATTTCGAGACTATACATTATATATATATGAATATATTCTATTTTGTACGGCTAAGCGGGCGCATGGAAGTAAGCAGCGAGTAACGTAATTTTTAATATATTAACTAAATGTAGCTTACTTACTTATTTTAACTTAAATGTACACAGAGCGAAACGGAAACCAAGCAGCAGCAAAATAATATAACCGAAATATAAATGTACTTGATGTAAGAAGTTTGCTAAATTGAAACCGAAAACCGAATCCGAAACCGAAACACGAAAGTCGCGAATCCCAGCCCACAACAGAATCCAGGCTGCACTATGGACACCAACGAGGTGGGGGACCTGGTGGTTCGCAGGATCCATCTCCGCGACATCCAGAACACATTCCAACACTGCAATATTTTTGTTTAACTTTTACTTTTGCCAGTCCCCCGGCCTCGTTGGGGGCCCTTGTGCGGAATGGAAACCAAGAAAACAATTTTGAAGGAAATACCATCTAAATATATTTAATGTAAAAAAAATAAACCAAAGAGCGTGTCGTCTTGTCTCTCCTTGGGCTGCTGGCATCTACGCCGCGAGTAAAACTTGAAATATTAAAATGCTTCCTGGACCGGAGCCGCCTGTTTATCACTTCCGCAATTTAAGCGCGCACAAAACATTTCGGCACATGGCTCGATGGCGCCGTAAAATATGCAAAGCCCCGGCCAAGGCGCTATTCCCACCGAAATTCTGATATTTTTGGCTCCAACTCAGCGCCGCAGGACTCGCGCAAGAGAGCTCGTCTTTTGTGCTCGCTAAATTTGGCTAAATTTCATTATCGACTGAAGAAAAAGGCATATGTTTCCACACGGGTTTTTTCTTACTTTTCCACGGCTTCAGGTGGGCGCTCAAGTCAGGCACATCACTCATACGCCGCGTGGCCCTAATAATAAAGTTGTATGCACATCATTCGGGGCCGGGTATAAGCTGCCTCCTTGCTGCACGCAAGGAAAATGGAAAATGCTCCCGCTCATGTTCCTGCTCCTGCTCCCGCTGCAAAGTGATAAATTGGATTCAAACGGTGGAGCAGATTTATTGATTTCATTGGCCGACGGCAGCGGTGGCGGCCGCTGAGCAACCGAGCGGCACGTCAAATTGAATAGACGCCAGCGGCGACAAAAATCAAAAACAGATATGCAAATAAAGGACATACACACACACACACACACACATACATGCACACGAGCACATACTTTAACAAAATGGCGCAGCGCAAAATGGCGGGCAAACGCGCTTTTTGCTTGCCTTCCGCGTACGCGGCGTGTCAAATTTTTGCAACTGATTATGCCAAAGGCGCCAGCGCCGGAGTTCACAATGCATGCATGAGTGGGTGCAGGGAGGTCCCCATCACCATCCCCATCCCCTTTCCCATAACCATCACCCTCTTCGTCCGTGTCCTCGTCCTCGTCCTGATCCTGGTTGGCGTGGACTGCCAGACACGCTGCTAGACGATGTTATCGAGCAAAACGACAGCGACGGCAGCTAAGTGCGGCCTGCCAAGTGCCCGCGGAAAATCTGAAGTGGGCGTTGGATACATGGGGGAGCACACCCCAACCCCCCCTGACACTTGGTCCTGCAGCCCGGGCTATTATTAGAGAAGCAAAAAAAAAAATAAAGTGAGGAGAAAATCAATCAGGCGAACGGCTTTGACACTGCAGTGCTGCTGCTGCTGTTGCAAAAAAAAAAAAAATATATATATAAACCCCGATCGGAAATGCGAAAATGCCGGGAGTAATGTTTGCTTTGAGCTGGCAGTTCCTTTTCCATTACCAGAATGCGCTTTGAGATCAAGCTGAGACCCGCAGAGTGAGCACTCCGCCACCGCAGTTTATGCAATTCCATCCCCTCCTCAGGTATGCAGTTATGCCTTTTTTCAGCCAGAAGGACGACGCGTCGTCGACGACGAAAGCCAACTGGAAGCAGCCAGGACACGTGATTGACATCTGTCTATGGACTAGGGGATGGCAATATGGCGTGCGATTTACGTGGCTTTATTATTACCTTCGCTACATATGTACCTTTTTTTACAGGCGATAGGGGTAAAAGGTTTATAACGGCTGAGTGGAGTGCGGAGTGCGGCACATGGGTAATAAATGCAGAAATGCTTTGCTGCCTTTGAATAGTCATCAGGAATATATGACACTAGACAAGTAATTGATTTACAAGAGGGACATTATTTTTATAACCCTGCAGGACATTATATTTTAAGTCTAGAATGTCGGCTTTTATTTTAAAAATATCGACAACGGTATTGATAAGAAGCTATGAAGTTTTAAATGTAAAACTGTAAGTCTAACAACATATACATAAAAAGTATACATAAGAAATTCTGGCAGCTACCTGGATTTGTGTTACATTATGAGTACTAAGAAGGAAGGAAACTTAATTCGTAAAGACGTAGTTTATATACCACTGAAGTTTACAATAGACTAATAGGATCAAACGGAAATCGATCATAACTAAGCTTAACAAATTGTGCAAAATATTTCCAACAAATCAATATTTTAAATGCATAACTAAGCACAAAATGGGTAAATTTAATTCAGAATGCACTCTTGCGCAATTTTTTATAACGTTTACACAGAAACGTTTTCCGAATTAAAATTAATGCATTTTTGACATAGTTATGGGATTTTTAAACTTTGTTTGTCCCAAAAAAATATTAAAAATTAGCAAATAAATACTTCGATTTCAAGATTCTGGCAGAGGAAAATATAGTTTTAATCAGTGAAGGAGCCATTTCCGACCCTATAAACCATATATATTCTTGATCAGCACTAACAGGCGAATCTTTCTTGCCATCTCAGAAAGAAAAAAAATTAATATTAAAAAAATACAAAAATATAAAATAAGTATCAGAAAGAAAATACAAAACCTTTTTTTTTCAAGTTATTTTTTTGTGTAAAAAAATATTTGCAAGAGGAGGTATAACATCCATTTAATAATTTTGATAAAAATCCTGGATCCAGAAAATATGGATGCATTTATTTTAAATGAAATATAAATTAAGTATGCAGATTGTTAACGCCAAACAACTAGCACAGGAACGCTTCCGAATTGAAATGATGCATTTTTGGCATAGTTATGCGATTTGTAAACTTGATTATCCTAAAAAATGGTATAAAAATCGATTTGAAGAAATAATCAAATTAAAATTATTAACCGTCAAGAAATTAACACAGGGACAAAATAAATGTAGTATGCAGATTTGTTAAGCGCCAAACAACTTATACAGAAACGCTTTCCGAATTAAAATTAATGCATTTTTGACATAGTTATGGGATTTTTAAACTTTGTTTGTCCCAAAAAAAATATTAAAAAATTAGCAAATAAATACTTCGATTTCAAGATTCTGGCAGAGGAAAATATAGTTTTAATCAGTGAAGGAGCCATTTCCGACCCTATAAACCATATATATTCTTGATCAGCACTAACAGGCGAATCTTTCTGGCCATCTCAGAAAGAAAAAAATTTTTTCAATTTTTGGAAAAAAATGCAAGGGGTTACATCATTAAAATTTAAAAAATCGACAAAAATGTTGATTTTTTAAATATAAATTTAAGTATGCAGATTTGTTAAACGCCAAACAACTAGCACAGGAACGCTTTCCGAATTGAAATTGATGCATTTTTGGCATAGTTATGCGATTTGTAAACTTTGATTATCCTAAAAAATGGTATAAAAAATCGATTTTGAAGAAATAATCAAATTAAAATTATTAACCGTCAAGAAATTAACACAGGGACAAAATAAATGTAGTATGCAGATTTGTTAAGCGCCAAACAACTTATACAGAAACGCTTTCGAATTAAAATTAATGCATTTTTGACATAGTTATGGATTTTAAACTTTGTTTGTCCCAAAAAAAATATTAAAAAATTAGCAAATAAATACTTCGATTTCAAGATTCTGGCAGAGGAAAATATAGTTTTAATCAGTGAAGGAGCCATTTCCGACCCTATAAACCATATATATTCTTGATCAGCACTAACAGGCGAATCTTTCTGGCCATCTCAGAAAGAAAAAAATTTTTCAATTTTTGGAAAAAAATGCAAGGGGTTACATCATTAAAATTTAAAAAATCGACAAAAATGTTGATTTTTTAAATATAAATTTAAGT